CCACAACATTGACCAGATCAAGGGGTCGAACCTGTTCTCCCGCGAGGAAGGAGGCGTTTGCCTTGCGCGCGCCCTCTCGCGCCTGAGCCACATGGGCAGCAAGGAGTGGGTGGAGCGGGGCATGGGGCTTGAGGCGCAGGGCGGCAAGAAGGACCGCGACGACTGGGCCAAGGTGCGCAGTCGCCAGATGGAGGACAGCATGTAGCATCGATACCCTGGGCGCTTGCTGTCGGCGGTACCACGATGGCAAGCTTTATTCACGCTATATTTATATTCCCCCCGTTTCCTATTTCATGTTGTTCAGAGAGCAGACGTAGAATTGCACATGCACACGATACGCCAAGCACAGCCTCAGTAGATGCCCGGCAGAATCACGTAGGGCACCTCCCTCTTGAACTGCGCCCACTGCGCCCCGTAGCGCCCGCTGCAGTACCGATCGAGCACCGGCACGGCGCGGCCCACAAAGTCGTACGACTGCAGCAGGCCCATGGCGAGGCCGCCGACCCAGCCCGACGCGGCCATGCAGTAGCCGGCGCGCCAGAGGGCGTAGCCGCCATAGTTGATGTGGCGCGCGAGGCGCCAGAGGCCCGTCTTCATGACCTTGCCCTCGTTGGCGGGGCGGTCCTTGAAGACCTTGCGCTGGTGCTCGGACACGGTCTCGAGGGCCATGCCGACGGCGAAGAGGGCGGCGCCGACGAGGACGGGCAGCGGCAGGCGGTCGACGGTGTCGCGGCCGGCGAGGACGCTCGTCGTCGAGGCGAGGAAGAGGAGCGCATTGAGCGAGTTGACGAGCGAGTTGTAGGCGCTGACGGGCACGGCGGCGCTGAGGGCGGGGAACTCCTCGTTGGACAGCGACACGAGCCAGTAGATCTGCTTGGCGGCGGCGGCGGCGGACATGGCGACGAGGAGGAGGTGCGGCGCCGGCAGGCGCAGGTTGTCGAGGGGGGCGAGGCCCGTGGCCAGGGCGAAGCCGGCGAGGGGTCGCGAGGCGATGCCGAGGCG